GATGAAACCAACTTGAGTTTGGAAAGAAGAGTACGAAAGCGTCCAAGAAAATGAGCCTTGGTAAAGAGATCTGCTGGTTGATCAGCGGAGCCAATGAAAACCAAATGAACAGTTCCTTGTGCAACATGATGGCGAATAAAGTGACAATAAACCTCAATGTGTTTATTGCGTTCATGAAAGACATCATTATGAGCAATCTGCATAGCACTTTGATTATCACAATATAAATCAGTAGAAGAAGGTTGAGGAATGCCCATATCTTCAAGAAGCCACCGCAATGAAAAAAGTTCTGATGTGGTATCCCGGAGAGCTCTATACTCAGCTTCAGTACTAGAGTGAGATGGAATAGCTTGTTTCTTACTCCGCCAAGAGATAAGAGAATTACTGTAATACCCCAAAATTTTCCTAGAGCATACAAGTGGAGTTAGGGACTTAATGGTGAGGAAACACTATTAATGGACCTAACTGTAAAATTTTTCAACCTTAAAGGGGTTAAAACCCTTAATGGATAAGGCCGGCTGACTCATTTCTTTTTTTTTTCTTTTTCTTCTTTCCTTCTTTCTTCCCAGCCATTTTCGCATCTGTTCTGTTCCCTTTCTCCTCTGCAGCCGAAATGAACCCAGCCATTTTCCAGCGTCCCCATCTGCAAAATTGGTAAGAGAACTTGATGATTTTGTTCCCTTCTTGCCCAAGAACAAGTCTAGAACCTAAAACTTCTCTCTCTTGCAGAAAAGCCGCCGGATCTGCTCTGCTTCCCCTTTCCCTGCCGCCGGCTGTTGCTGGGTATAAGCTCCGGTTTTTCCTGGTAAAATCAGTCCAGAAACTCCTCTTTTAGCCTTGATTTATGTTAGGTCACTCTAATCTCGTTGTTCTTTCAATTGCTAGTGGCCCTGTGAAAGTCCTACAATTTTCCCGCCGGCTCTTCCCTTTCTCGCCAGCTCCAGCTTTGCTTGTTGAGCATTTCTGGTAAGTTGGCTTCTTTAATCTCCTGAAATTGGTAGATTAAGTGTTGATTTGTGACTTAAGTGGTAGTGCGAGTGTTTGGGTTGTTCAAAAAAATAACCTGCTGGAGGTGGGGGATGAGTTTGGCAATTTGAAAATGGATTGGTTGATGATTTAAGTAGAAATTCCTTAAATTGGCTGTTGTGTATGTGTCTGAGAGAAAAGGAGGAAAATTCTGTGAATTGGCCTTTTTGTCAAGGCCGGTTCTCCCAATCCTGTCCATTAGTTTGAAAAATTGTATGTGTGTAATTGTGTAATTGTACATACATAGATATTAATTTGGGAATATTGTGATTAGGTCCTTGATTGCCCTGTGATCCTAGCACTTGGATTAAGTCTCCTGTCCTGTGCAATTAAGGTAAGTAAATTTATGGTAATACCCGTATGGTTTCAAAAGCATGTTTTGGTTTTGTTTTTGAAATGGTGGCGGGACTAAACTCGTTATATACAAAATAAATATGTTTGTTTTGAACTGAAAGTTTTTATGATTTTTATGAATTTGAGCATGCCTACTTGAAGTTCATTTGATTGACCCGATGATTGGAAGTTATTTGTAAAGAATGATTTTATGTTAACTTCTGCCTGTTTTGTCTCCGATGTGGTTATGTTATTGATGATCCTGCTAGTGGGGGTTAAACGCTAGCACATGTCGACATGTTATTGATAGAACCGGTTCGCCTGACTGACCCTGCTAGTGGGGGTTAAACACCAGCAAATACTGTAGCCTGCCAGTGGGAGGTTTAAACACTGGCCATGACCTACAGAGGAGACGTCTATTTCTTTCCCGTACTATATCCGTTTTTATTATATTGTTGGCATGCCATAAGTTTAATTGACTGCTACTGAACCTTATTCTGCAAAATGGTTTATCATGGAACATTTTGTTTATGTTTAAAGTGTTTATCTGAAACGCTCAAATTGTACTCACGGGTTATCCATACATTTACTTATTGAGATAGTTTATCTCATAGTTTTTCCCTTGTCCACCATTTCAGGTAGTGAGACCCGACGCGTGGGAGCCCGGGGGAGTGACGAGCTAGACGGCTAGGCACTTATGGACTTAGGTTTTGTAGCTAAGCCGTTAGTCACCATGCTTGACATAGAAATTTTGTGTACAAAAGTTAGTGTTAGTCTTGATTATATATATATCTGAAATGAAAAAAAGTTTGTATATCTGACTGGTAACGATTTGGTAGATTAAAAAGGCTTAAATCTAAATTGTTAAGTAAGAACTCAGTAGGTTTCGAGCCTTGTGTATTTGTGGGCCTCGCTCACGAGTGCACGGCGTCTGCCACGACCCCGGATTTGGGTTCTGGGGCGTGACAATTACCAAGGAAAAGACAGTAACTAGTGGTAGATCTACGATCAGAAGGATCACCGGCCCAATCAGCATCAAAGTTAGCACAAAGCACAGAGGAGGAGTTGGCAGAAAAATGGAGTCCATGAAATAATGTTCCCTTAACATAGC